GGGGAGGGACGAGGAGGAGGCCTGCTGCGGCACCAGCCGGGTCGCCCCGCTGCCAGCGGAGAATAATCTAGCGGTTGCGGTGCCCGGCAGGGAGAAGGCCCCTCTCCCGGCCTCGCCTGAGCGCAGCCGCTGTCAACTGCGGAGGCCTGGCGCCGCTGGGGTGGCCCCGGGTGGCCCCGCTCCCAGCTGGGCCTCTGCTGCCCCGGGAGGAGGCGCGGGGACCCGGTCCTGCTCCTGCAGGTCTGAGCGGGGATGTAGCTGGTGCGTTTCCGCGCCAGCAGGAGAGGCAGACGCTAAAGGCTTCCATTGGGTCATTCTCATCTTCAGCACATGAGCCTGACAGGACCTTGGCAGGGGAAGCAAGGGGAAGGGTCTGCGACAGGCTTGGCCCAGGGTGCCAGAGCTGTGGTCGAAGGACTTTGCTGCAAACACAGCACTGTTCTGGGTCACCCCATTGATGTCATGCTTCCTTATTTAACGCACGTTCCTAGTCCCCAGAAAAGTGCAAGTTGTGTGATTGCTGTTTTAGCTGAGAACTTCCTACATCACGGTCTGTCGGATTCATGGTCCAGCTCCTCTCGTGCTTCCAGTTGTGACTTTGGAGGCAATGTGTCGCCTTTTGTGTCCTATACACAGTCTTCCATCCCTATCAGCAGGGTCAGGGCAGTGATGGCAAACATGCAGCACGCTTGCTGTGATTGACCTGCGGCACTTTTCAATGGCAAGGAGACAAGCCTGGAGCCTGCACAGGCAGCAGCGAGGAGGCAATGGTGGGCATGAGGTGGGGATGGCGCACCCAGAAGTTCTCGGGAGCTGCCTGGTGGGAGGGATGTCTGGCTTGCAGCATTGATAAGGTTTGCCATTACTGGTCTTGGAGCTGGCAAGTGACCAAAAGAAAGGCAGGCGGTCTGCAGCAAGGGTCACACTGGCAAAGCATGGGACTTGAGTGTATGGGAGGAGCAGGGAACAGAGGGAGTGAAGAGAAACAAAGATGCTTTACTACAGAATACTATTTGCATTTTGTTCACAGTGGTGGGAGACTGGGGCATTGGTGTTGACTGGTGCAAGGATCTCTGTTAGCTTGGCACTTCTGTTAGCCCTCATGATGCAGTTTGCCATTCAGCCATTTCAGTGCATGGTCCTTTCTGGGGATGGCTTCTTCTGAAACACTTTTTTTCCCCCCTCTTTTCCTCACAGGGGGGAGTAAAAGTCCTAATTACTGGTCCATGGCAGGAAGCCAGCAATAATTACAGCTGTCTGTTTGATCAGATCTCAGTGCCTGCATCTTTAATTCAGCCAGGGGTACTGCGCTGCTACTGCCCAGGTAAGGAACACCTCTCTCCTAAAGCTGGTGGTTTCAGAGCAAGTTCTTAGCCTAATAGTGTCATGTATGTCATGTCTCAACTAAACTCGTGGACCCATTGTGAAAGGTAGTGCATAAACATCAAGAAGCTTTTTCTTTTTCCTTGACCTATTTAGTGTGAGAACAGCAGTTTAGTATCTTGATACATCCCAACAGATTACAATAAATATTATTTAGAAGCTCTGAATTAGCTTTAAAATAATTATTTGAAATAATTTACAATAATTCTTAGCATTTCTTTAATTTTGAAACAGCAGATTAAAGATCAACTGTTATTCAGGGGTGCACTCACTGCTCTGCTGACTCTTAATTTGCCTATATTCTGCACTTTGTCCTTGGTGCTTACAGGATGAGAACACCTTCAACCTCCCTGCAGAGATTTTCAGTAGTGCTGGCCCTCAGTATATGACTTTAAGTGTATGCAGAATAACTTAGCCTCATTGTTAGGCCCCAGCTTCCCACTGAAAATGCAGTGAGGCTGGTTAATCTTTAGGAACGCGTGTGATTCTGCCTTCTGCCAAAACAATCCATTAGATGACTCTTAAGCTTACAACCTTCATGTTTGAAAATACAGATTGGCATTTTGGGTTCTTCAGTTGTCTAGTCACAAAAATATTGTCAAACGCCCCCTCTCCTCTCATTGCATCTGCTCTCAGCCTGCCGCTTAGCACATGGGGAGATCAATAGGATAATAACTATCCATGCATTTCTGCAGGGAGGTCTCTGTGTTAACCACATGCTCTTTCCTTTTAGCTCATGACACTGGGCTCGTGACTTTGCAAGTTGCCTTCAACAATCAGATCATCTCCAATTCTGTGGTGTTTGAATATAAAGCCAGAGCTCTGCCAACCCTGCCTTCCTCCCAGCATGACTGGCTGTCCTTGGATGGTAAGAAGCATGCGATATTCTTTAATAAGGCTCACTGAATGGTAGGACTGTGAATGAAAGGAGCAGCTCCTGGCGTGGAGGAGGGATGTAGAGAGGCAAGTTTGTACTGTGGGGAAGGTCTGTTGTACAGTTAATCAAAGACCTCTTGCTGAAATGTCTTATTAGTTCTTTTGATGTGAACAAAATGTGGCTACATGTGATAGGAAGGAGACAAAGGGGTGTTTTCTGAATAGAAAGCTGAGTTTCCCCAAAACAGGCACTACCCAGTCCCTAGCAGGAGAGGAGCATCTACCCTGCAGTTGTCTTCCCTGAGAACTCTGAAACTTGAGCTTGTCTAGGAAAATGTGTATTTACATAAGCAGGAAGCGGGAAGATGGTGAGACAATTTAAGGAATGAGGGGACTTTAGTCAGCCACTGCTATGATGTCCACATCCCACCTCATTACCTAGGAGTTACCAAACGGGGCACATACAGGTTCTGTCAAACACTTGAGAGTCTCAGTGCCAGAGCAGTCTGTGCTAATGGCAAGCCAGGCATGCTCTGGCACATAACAGCCACAATCAGCCTTTTTAGACTCATATGAGCTCCCCTTGTGCCTTGCAGGGATGAGATGGACACGCTAATAGTGTTAGCTCTTAGCCAAGCAGTTGGCAGAAGAATCCATGATTGATCAGAACAGATCTCTGGTACCTAAATGTCACACCAAGGGATGGGAACACAGGCTCTGAATTTGTATGGCAACACTGTGCATGCAAGTTTTAGATTCAGGTTTACCTGGTAACCCTTTGCTCCCCAAATGCATTTTATAAAGGAGCAAGATGAGAAGGATAGTGGGGGAACTCAGGAGCCTGAAACGTTCATTTCCCTTCCTGAGTGCAATTGCTAGAGAGATGCAGCTTCCAACTCAGACCAAGGAGATGCAGGGAAAGAGCTGGTTTGTATGACATGCTGGGAAAGGACCAGTAATACTGCTTTCATCTTTCTTCATCAGAGTCAGCTGCTGGGGCACTGCATTTTGTGCAATCTTAGCAAAGTCCCAACACTCCTGCTTGGTGACCCATTTGCTAAGTGTCTATTTTCTCTGCTAAATACAGGAGACAAATATGGTAAGGTCAGATCCTTAGTCTTCAGAGATTTCATAGCTGAGAAACTAATATTAATGTTACAAAGCGTTACACAAAAGATTTCACAGAAGTAGTTGTTTGCACAGGACCATACTGAAGGCAAGAGAAGTAATGAGCTAATATACTGATGCAGTTTCTTCCTCAGTCAATTAACAACATCTTTGATGGACATGGCAAATACTTAGAACTGTTTTACCTTAACTGGAGAAATACTGAATGGTTTCAAGCTTAATTCAGGCCAGCTACATGTCAGTGTAGGCAGGTGGTGTTTGAAGGGGTTTTGGTGGGCTTCCTCATTCTGTCTGGGAAGCCCTGACAGGAAAAGCTTTCATCATTAAAGCATTCATTAGAAGCTTTCTCCATACCATTAGCAGCTGTGGGCCTAGGGACTAGTCATGTGGGTCAAATCTGAGCACCCTGACACTGCTGATTAGAGCATCCGCAGTTCATCTGTAAAATGTGAGCGCCGGGGGCAGGTGAGGAGGAGCCATTTCTAGCTGGATTCTGGCAGAGCGGTGTGTGTACGTGTGCAGAGTCTGAGCTGATGCTTTTGGAGACAATTGAGGAGGAAATAATAAGAAAATAGAATTTCCTTCAAAGTAGCATCAGGCATGATTTCAGTGGCACAGTACCTGTATTTTCAGCTGTTCAAGGTTATCCATTAATATTAGCAGCAGACTGATGCATCCTTCCCTGGCTCTCCCCCTCCCTGTAACATCACAGAACACAAATGTTTAGTTTGGCTCCGCTTTCTGACCTGTAGCTGATGTGTTTCTTATGCCACATACAAGAGGGATATTTTAAGGAAGTTGGGGCAGCACTGCTTCCAACGTTTGTATACATGAGCAGAATGGAGACAGATCACTGTGGTTATTGCAGGACTAAAGAGAGGTTTGTGACTTGGCTGTAGAGGCATACTTGCAAACAGAAATAGAAATAGCTCTTAAAGAGAAAGTGCACATAGTCTTATGTTCAGCATCAAAATTGAGTTTGCTTGACTTCTGAGTATTGGAAGAGTCTGCAGGTGCTTTTCATCTGCTACTGAGGCTGCACATTGCATGTGAAGTACAGCCGATACTGATGTGATGGAGATTGATATTCAGCTGTTAGCAATCCCTCCAGTGTGGCATGCAAAGCAGATAGGTTTTAAAACCCTTGTTTGACAATTCCCTCAGTGCTGGTGAATTTGGAGGAGCTGCAGAAGGTGGCTGTGAGTGCTGTCTCTGGTGTTCCTGCAGTTTGTCTGGGAGCTCCTGGTTAGCGGGCAAGCTCTCAATTAGAGATTGTTATGATGTGGTGATGGTGGAAGGGAGGGGGACTGCAGCAGTGAACAAACTAGGGCATTGCTAACAGGGAGGGGAAAAAAAAAAGTAAAAGGACCGCTGCATTGCAGAGGCCCTTCAGGGAAAAAGACTGAATAATTACACTAACCATGACTTATCAGAAGCCTCTGCCTTGATGCATAGTGCTCCAAAGGGAGCAAATTACACTCTTATTTAAAGGACCAGCAACATCTTCCCATTTATTCTTGGAGAATAAACGTTAGCTTAGCCAGCTGAGGTATAAGCTAATGTGAGTTGATTCTATCAATAGAATAAATAACCAAATCCCTGTCTTCTCTGTTTACTTTAATTGCCCTGCTTCAAATCCTTGCCCGACTGCCTGTTAGGTAAGTCTTGAGGGAAGGATTTCAAGGAATATTTGTAGTCCCAAAATATTGACTAGAATTTTAAAATTCTTTTTCATTAACTCAGTGGTACACTTTGAGTTCCTTTGCGCTATGCTGTTAAAACACAGTTAATGATTCCAGCTAGTATGACCACTGCGAGAGAGGCAGGGTTTATAGCCAACTGTACCCCAGGAACAGCGTAGTAAAAGGATAAGCAATTTCCATCTTACATAAGTTTAGATAAACAATTGTCTTCCACAAATCTCTTTAAAATAAAGACAAAGACATCCTATATGTGAACTGTATATTTTCAGTTACATTAAGACAAAAATTAATCTGCCTTCTTTGTTCAGTTCTGCAGGTTCAGTTCTGCAGATACCTGAAAACCTTTAGCCTCTGTTTCTTTCTTAAGGAGGCAAGCCTTTAGCTGCCTGACCATGCCCAGCTCACAGCATAGTGGCTTCAATTTCTCTGCAAGCTGCTCTTGAGAACTGTGTAGTTGTTGTATGCCTTTGCAGTAATAGGCTGTGCTACACAGGCTGTAGCACAGCTCCAAATGTAAAAGGGCAGGCGGCAGCAGCTCAATCATGAAAGGATATGGTGTAAACAAAGCCAATGAATAAAATAGATACATACGTAAAATTGCCGCTCTCAGGTATGGATGCCTCCCAGTTAATGCTAAGATAGTAGGCACACCTGGAATCACATCTCTGTAGAAGTTTCCAGATTTCAATAAAGATGGGTTAGCAAAGAAGCATCTGAAACCAAGCATGCAAAACCAGAGTTCCACGGTGACCAGCAGGAAAAAGTGAGCACAAACTTTTTTGTGTGCTGAGCAGCTCTCGGTGCAGGCTCAGAGTAGAGACGCTGCTTGCTGGGGGACATTGCCATACCTTCTGTCACAGAGGAATGCCATGAGATCCACGCGTGTGCCTGTGCAGTGTCGCAATGGGATCTGCTTTCACCTGGCTACTGCACTAGCAGAGAGCAGCAGTGGTACGACATATCACACTTCCTTCTTATAAGCACTTAGAGCAACTTTTGGTTTAAGTTTTTTTAAAGGCAGGTAATTCTTATGATTATTCAGGGAACATTTAACCAGTGCCTGTAGGGCTCAGGGTCTGGGAGAGATACGATGAACAGGAGGGCGTTTTGAGTGAAACAATAGGAATTGTGTTTCCCAGAGGAAAACATTTCATTAAATAATTTCCCAGTTTATAGTAATTGCTACTTGTGGAAGTAGTGAGCTTGGGGCAAGGATAAAATCCCACCTTTTTGAGCACAGAGCAAGTATTGGCCATTGGGATCAGGGAGCAGTACTGCAAATGACTGGAAAGTGTTGTGAGACCATATCCCTCCGTGCCACCTGTTTATAGGAAGGTATCAATCCAAGTGAAGGAATGTGTAGAGAAGGAGTTTTAAGGGGCAGCACATTGGGTGGCCATCCTCTGAAGGGCTTCTTCCTTTTTCAGTGTCTGTGCTGCACTATAAAGGATAGTGCACCCTTTTCCAAATTATACACAGCCATCCTTGTTTTATTCTGAGTTTTCCTTATTTTACCCCGCAGATGAGTTAGATTTTTACAAATGCACAGTGGACACCAGCTGCTTTCAAAAAGTGTCTGTAGAGATCACATTTCCTTGGCATGGGACATGATCAGAAATGCCAGGGAGACTGGTATGAGTGTTCCTTGGCATTACACTTATGCATCTGCAGGGAAGAGGTTGGGGAGGAGTAAGGGCTGCCATAGGGAGCCCAAACAGACCTTAAAAATATGGGCAGGCAACGTGTGAACTGATGAGTCAAGGGTGTATGGGATGGACAAGGGTGTGACTGGTACTGAATGTAAATGGTACTGATGCAAGAGAGAGTAATAGGCAGCCTTTCAGCTGCTGTTGGATTCTCGGTTTAAGATTTGGCTATCTTTCCCAGCTGGAAAACATAACAAAGGCTGGGGGGGTTTGGTGGCTCACTCGTGTTAGTGTGACATGGCCATACCTGTGGCACCCAAACTCTCGTTTCGGCACGCAGGAGGTGGATGGGATCCCATGCGTTCAAGTGATCTGTGACAGTACAGCGTGTGCATGCTACCTGTGGCATTTCACAGTTTGACAGGTATGTGACTTCTGTAATGCAGTGGTGAGCGTGCAAGACAGTAAATGTTCATCACCAAAATCCACGGAGGATGTCTGTTTACTGGGACCGG